TATTTTTTGAAAGCCAGAGTTTGCTGCCTTGGTCTGTTTTGAGGGCAAAACTGGATAAGAAGCCAGGCCTCAGGGCATGCTCTGGAGCACTATGTTAGCCTGTCTCTATTTGATACAACAACTGCATGGGGCAATTCGACACTTGGCAACTTTTTGTACAGGAATCACTTTAGATCCTCTGCCATGATGAATGCTTTCTCTCACAGGATCAATCTCCATGTCTCAGTAGACCCCCCATGTCTCTAGCCTGGGGCCCGGCTGTCCCTGCAGTTCAGTTGCTTCTCTGAAGCTGCCTGTCAAGCCGCTGTTACATGACCCCGAGTGTTGTTTTCAATGAGTGCCAAATCCAGTCTTTAGTAACACCCACACATGTTCTACTTTGTTACCCATGGATAAATGTTTATAATTTTGCTTTGACCAATTTTTTTGAGGTAATTATTTTCCCTGTTCAAACTCCAGAAATTCTCTCAAACAATGGTCCTTTGCCTGGCACAGGGAGATAGGAAACCTGGACCTAAAGGCCAAACTTTTTTTTTTTTTTAAATGCTGTTGGCCAATGACTAGGATTTCTTATATGCTAGCTCAGTCTTAATTATCATAAGTCTATATATTTTATAAGACTTATCTTATTGAGAATGCCTTCCACTGGTGTCTTCTTCCCGGGATCACATGGTGGCTCCACAGCAGAGAGCAGAAGGAAGAGGAAGAGAAAGAGAATGACTTCCTGCTTGTCCTTGCTTAAATTCTGACTCTGCCTGCTATGTGACTTCCTGCCTGGATCACCAGACTTCTCTTTCCTACATTTCCCAGAATTCTCCTCAACTCCTAGTCCCACCTATCTTGCTCCCCTATTGGCCAACAGTGCTTTATTCAACAACCAATAAGATAAACATATACACAGAAGGCCATTCCCCATCATCTCTTTTTTGTCTAAATAAAAAGAAGGGTAATTTATCTTTTATAATAACTGAAGAAAACTATAACCATAACATGTATCTTCAACTCCATCAAAGACCACAGAAGGATAATATATAAACTCTAGAACCGACAGAGACATCTCCCTGCCTGGACAGGCACCTGAAGTTCCCCTGTAAAGTTGGGGCATCCATCTTCAGCCTATAGGCCACAGTGTGTCTGGCAGACTTCTCCATTTCAGCAGGAACCCTTCAGGACTGTTCATTTTGTTTTGTAAGTTCAGCAGTCACTTTCTTATGGGTCCTGCCTGTCCAGTTTATACAGCAACAAACAGTCCAGGCAAGAGCAGTTTCTTGCCCAAAGGGCTAATTTTGCCATGTTGAAGGCAAACTCCATAACGAGTTTCTTCGATGCCCAACCTCCTTTTGGACATAATTGGTGTGCCAGGAGCATTTGTGTCTCACTGTCAAGAAAAACCCTAAACCATTTAGAGGCCAAACTATCATTCTGGGATAAATGCCCTAACACAGTCATTCCCAGGGTGACTGGACACTGATAACCTGAAGCCTCAGGTATTCACAACCATTTCAAGGAACTCCCACTCTCAAGTGAAACTGTTTGTATGCATTGTAAGTCCTGTGCTACCACTTGAAAGCTGTATAACCACTAAAAAAATCTTACTAATTAAATGCAAACTCTGGAAATGAACTTTGACTCCTTGGAGGAATTTACCTGTAGCCAATGCTGCAAAACTTTCATTGTGACCTTTGGGAAAACCATTTCATCTTCAGTTTGTAAAATCAAATTTCATAAATCCAATGACTACACAAAGCTCATTTTTTCCAACAAAATAAAAATGAAATTTGGAAGCTGACCTAAAGTTACATTTCCAGGACAATCTATCACTCCACAAAATATACAATATGCATGCTCTACCAAGATATTTATAGCTAGACACAGCATTAGTTCTTAAGAAATACTCTATTTGTGACTGTTATAAAGTGACATTTTCCTGCTCAGAAAGATTAGGACTTATCAGAGTGTATCAACAAAAAAATAAATAATCATGGGTCTGTTTACAGGCCCCAAATCCTCTTTAGGCTGCTAACAAATGCTGAAGTGATAAAGCATGGACTTGAAAATTCTACTTTCAAATTTTGCCCCCTGCCAATATCATATAATCAATATGATTTCTCTAAGGGATTCATTTCTGACCTATTTTACCCTTTTTTTAAAAAAAGCACTAAGTACACAGTGATTTTTGTTCAGTGATGAGCCCACAAGTACTGGCAGCAGAAATGAAATTCCAATATGCTATTTTCTATCTGTGAGGATACAGACAAATTATTAAGCCTCCATTTCATCATCTGAAAAAATGGTACTTAATAAGACCATTCATAGGATTAAACATGTTAATGAGTGCCAAGCTTTGGATGAGCCATCAATAAATATTAATTTGAGTATTATTATACTTATTACCCATCATTTTCTTATTACTTACAATTCTACCACACCTGAAGTCTGTACTACTTAGTCATCTCCTGATGACCCTGCTTCTTCCACCTATACTAAGCCACTATCTTCCCAAAGCTGAGAGATCCTTTTCGAAGACAAAAACAATTATTCCGGCTCCCTTTTCTGCGTAGGGACATAGTCAATCAGAAAGTATTCCAGCTGCCCATAGCACAAGCCTGCCCTGGCTACCTGGCCTGACTATACTCCTCTGCCTCTTTTACCTCTAGTCCCCAATCCCCTTTAAACTTTAGTTTCAGTTGTCTGTGCACAGCCCACACTGTGCTCTTTCACTCTAGAGTTCTGTCCCTGTCCTGGGGCTGTCATATGCTAGTCCAAAAGCTACTTCTCTAACTAGCTGACACGCCTATCTTTCCACAAATCACAGTCTCTTCAAAACGCCTAGCCTGACAAATGCATTACCTGTTTAAAGGATCATTTCCCCCATGTCTGCCTTGCCTCCAAGGTTATAAGGTTGTAAACCTGGAAGGCATATCTCCCAGTTTTGCTCATATAACCCAGTTCAGCCCCAAACCAAGGGAAGAGGAAGACAGTAAATACTACCATAATAAGTGAATGAACGCATACAGGGAGAGGTTAAAATAGCCAGTCTCAAAATGCTGCCTCAGCCCCAGGTTGTTTCCCTAACATACAAGACCTTTTCTTACTTCTTTCCTCCTTCCCTTCTTTTTTTCCCCTCCCTCTTTTCTCCCTTTTCAATACATTTTAGCCTGGCTTTCTCTTCTCCTGACCCAGGTGCTGCCCGCTGGGGAATACAGAGATGGACGAGGAGGAAGGAGCCCAGGCAGCAGAGCGG